GTGGTGGTGTATAGTGTGTATATGAGTATAGTGTAAAGTAGTGTATAGTGTAGTATATAGTGTAGTTTAGTGTTACAGGGTGCTTCAAAATGAATGTTCACACTTCTGAGAAATGACCAACAACACCACAAGAAGGTCCGCCTACAGGCGGAGCGCCGAACGAGTGGGAGGCCTTTTTGAGGCTATCAACGTCACATGTTGTTAGCGTGTTACGGTGTAGTAGTATTATTATCCTTTTTTTACATTAACAACTATAGTCCCCGTATAAGCGTTAACATTTAATTTGAGGCGCCCTGTATATAACACAACAACAACCGCCATTCGCCACTAAGTGGCGGTGACGTCACCACGACGCTTGTGCCAGGCCATGTGCACCTTGAGGCCACGTGAAGTGTCGAACGCCCGCTGGCAGGAGGTCACGGGGCAGACCCAGCAGGTGCCACGGGTCGACTGACTGAGATGACTGAGCTGATGCACCACCTGTGCCCCCTTCTGTGCCAACCCGCTGCGCTTTAGCCACCCGGCGCTCCGCTCGTTGTTGTGAGCGTCGCTCCTCCGCCCTCCGTTGTTGTTGGGAGGGCGACTGCCTCCAACTGCCCAGTAGCAGCGTCCTTCACGAGCCTCCTCCACAGAGGCCGATCTTGACACCGCTGGTACCAGTCATCGGCTAGTCCACTCAGCTCCACGTCCTCCTGTACCACATCACTCCATCTCTTCTCTAGCCCGTGCCCTGTAGATATACCCACTCGGATAGACACTGATATCCTGAGTTTAAACCCTGCATTTAGTGTCTCCAGCATGGCCATTATGAACCCAGACTTTTGAACCACCCTGTATATATATACACACACGAGAATATATATAGGGTATTCTTTGGGTCTTTCGGTAAAGTCACCACCACGTAAGAAGGGAAACAAGAAAATACAAATATAAAACAATAAAATTATTGTAAAACAATAAAATTATTATTCTTGGTTCTTTCGGTAAAGTCACCACCACGTAAGAAGGGAAACAAGAAAATAATACAAATATAAAACAATAAAATTATTGTAAAACAATACAATTATTATTCTTGGTTCTTTCGGTAAAGTCCCCACCACGTAGAAGGGAAACATTAAAATAATAAAAATATAAAACAATAAAATTATTGTAAAACATCAGGTGAAGGGAGCGAGACTGTCCTACCAGACAGTCTCACTCCCTTCACCTGATGAAGGCCGCTTGTGTTGTGGCCGAAACGTCGTGAGAATATTATTGTGTTATTTTATTTTATCAATTTATTATTTTATTCTCATTCTACGTGACTTTACCGAAAGAACCAAAGAAGAATAATTTTATCGTTTTATATTTTGTATTATTTTATTGTTTCCCTTCTACGTGGTGGTGGCTTTACCGAAAGAACCAAGAATATAGTATCACTATCATCAGGTTAAACGAAAATAACACTAAAATAACAAAAAACGATGCTTTTAAACACAACATAAAGCGGTCTTAGATTTTATTTTTCCCCCCAACGGCGAATCAAAAACGTCGTAGTAGCTTTTTTAGTTTTTATTCATTTTCTTTGAACCCGTCTATGCGCGACTTTGCCGAAAGGCCCAGAAGGATATTAATTCCTGCAGCCGCGAAAAGCATTCGGGCAAGATTTTTACATATTTATATGGGGTAGTCCAAACGTCGGGGAACATGGGGGGTTGCAACTGAAGATACAGAGGGTTTATAAATATACAGAGAGCCTACAGTCTGTCTTCAGCTGTATATTCACGTACAATATATATAGAAACACAGCTTCTAAATGCATCATATACACACAGAGTAAAACCTTGTGCATTGCGAGTTAACTTTGCCTGCGAGTGTTTTGCGTGTCGAGCTAAGCGTTTTAAAATAAATATTACTGTTAGTAGGCAACGTCGTGGACTGGAAGCCCAACGGGGATTAATTCACAGGAGGATTAATTGTTGCGTATGTCTGTGGATGTCTGTCCACGTGGGAGGGGTGGGGCTTGGTGGACATGGGAGGGGCTGGGTGGGGAGGGGTGGGGCTGGATGGGGAGGGGTGGGGCTGGGTGGGGAGGGAGGGGCTGGTCACCCCGTGGTGCCCCCCTTATGAAACTCAACGTTTCACCAGCTCGCGCCAGGCTTGTGCCCGCCCTCACAGTCGGGCACATTGTGCTGAACGCACCACGTGGTGGTGGTGGTGCCGTTCTTGTTGTTGTTGTAGACCCTGGCCATTGACCCAGCAAACCCGACGTTCCGACCAGCCCCCTCCTCCGCAGGAGAATTTGTTGACTTTGAAAGCACGCTTTGCCCTGCCGAGCGTGGTCACGTGACCACAACCGACGTACGAGTGCGCTTTGGATTACAAAACACGTTTCCCGAACGCAGTTACGCGCAATCCCAAGGTTTTACTCTGAGTGTGTGTGTGTGTGTATAGAGAGAGACCGTGTCCGTACCTTCAGCTGCATATGAATAAATGTAAAGACCTTGACCTTCGGCTGCCCAATCTGCCTAAACAAAGGTCACCACCACCACCACCCCCCACCACTCTTCGAGGTGCGTGCGTGCATATATCGGCCGGGCATTTCTTTCCGGCCGCGAGTTGCCCCCCAAATGAAGAACAACAACAACAACACACTTACACTCCACAACCCCCGCACGGCACAGCTGGTAGGGGAGTGGTGGTGGTGGTGGTGGTGGGGACTGTGAATGTTACTGAATCGCGAAATGTTTGGAGGAAGCTGAGATGCTTTGGACCGCCGGAAGCTCCCTCGGGTGCCACCGCTCGCTTCTGAAATGTCCCGCGCTGCCTGTGACGGACCCCCCCCCAACTGCTCGCCCGGTTCCGTGCGTGCCGCTGGACGGGAGGTGGGCCCCGCTGAGGGGGAGAGGCACCCAGAAACTCAGGGGGCTCGAACCCCAGGGTGTCTCAGTGTCTCCTACACGGCCATTGTGAACCCCCTGAGAGAGAGAGAGAGAGACACCCAGACCCAGGGCTCTAACCCAGGCTCTCAGTGTCTCTGACACGGCCATCGTGAACCCCCTGAGAGAGAGAGAGACACCCAGACCCAGGGCTCGAACCCAGGCTCTCAGTGTCTCCTACACGGCCATCGTGAACCCCCTGAGAGAGACACCCAGACCCAGGGCTCGAACCCAGGGTCTCAGCGTCTCCGACACGGCCATCACGAGTCTCGGTGTGTGTGTGTGTGTGCCCGAACACTTGGGTGGGGGGTGGGGGAGGTGGGGCTGGGGGGGGGTGTGGGGGGTGGGTCCATGGTTTAAGGCAAAGGACGCTACACGGTAAACCCGACGCCAACAACTTAAGACGCACGAACGTACGGACACAAGACGAAGCTTCCGCCCCACCCCCCCTCACCACGCCCGGTCCGCCTTTGTCTCCCCACTAGTGGAGATGTCTACCACCACCCACCGTGGCTCATTTGAGGCCGAGTCGACCTAGGGGACGCCCAGGACCCGGTTTCGGGATAACCGCCATGGTGCCCTGTTTTGCTCAGCCGCTCCGCACTCGCACACAGACAAAGGTCCCCCGTGTAGCCTGCAACAGGCAGCAGGGGCAAGTGCCGTTAGCGAGTAGCAGCAGCGGCTGAGAAGGCTACCGGGCACTGTGGCACACACAGAGGGGGGTGGGTGGCCAGCAGGACCAACCACGCCCGGCCGCCTTTGTCTCTCCCCCAGTGCTAGCGATGTTTCACTGCTACACTACGCTGCTACAACACCAGCTATTCATTTTGAGGCTGAGTCGACCTAGGGGAGGCCCAGGGACCGGTTCAGGTAACCGTCACCGACGGTGTTGGCCGTGAGCGGGAATCGAACTCGGGGTCGCCGGGTTCGTAGCGGTCAGCGTAGCGCTAACCACTACACCCACCGCTCCCCATACAGCACACACACACACAGACACACACACACCCACTCACACACACACAGACACACACACGCACGCACAGACACACACACCCACTCACACACACAGACACACACACACAGACACACACAGACACACACACACAGACACACACACACCCAGACACACACACAGACACACAGACACACACACACAGACACACACACAGACACACCCACGCACGCACTCACACAATACAGCAGCAGAAGTCTAGGCATGCATATCCACTCAAGCCCCCTCGCGGAGCTCCATCAGGAGCCCAAAAGTCACCCGGCAGAGGAGCGAGGACATCCCACACACACACTTGTGCGTGTGTACAGTCTGAAAGAAATAGTCCATTGTGGGCCCAATAGGCCTCTTGTGGAGGTCGTTTCGTGGGCCCCTGGTGGAGCTCACTCACAGGCCCCACACAAGAGGCCCCACGACGGAGACGATTCTTGGGCCACCTGGTGGAGACGACACTCGTGGTGGGCCCCCTGGCGGAGATGACACTCGTGGGCCCCCTGGTGGAGATGACACTCGTGGGCCCTCTGGCGGAGACGACACTCGTGGGCCCCCTGGTAGAGGCGACTCGTGGTGGACCCCCTGGTGGAGACAACACTCGTGGGCCCCCTGGTGGAGACGACACTCGTGGTGGGCCCCCTGGTGGAGACGACACTCGTGGGCCCCCTGGTAGAGGCGACTCGTGGTGGACCCCCTGGTGGAGACAACACTCGTGGTGGGCCCCCTGGTGGAGACGACACTCGTGGGCCCCCTGGTGGAGACGACACTCGTGGTGGGCCCCCTGGTGGAGGCGACTCGTGGTGGGGCCTCTGACGGAGATGTCTCGTGGGCCCCCTGGTGGAGACGACACTCGTGGTGGGCCCCCTGGTGGAGACGACACTCGTGGTGGACCCCCTGGTGGAGACAACACTCGTGGTGGGCCCCCTGGTGGAGACGACACTCGTGGGCCCCCTGGTGGAGACGACACTCGTGGTGGGCCCCCTGGTGGAGGCGACTCGTGGTGGGGCCTCTGACGGAGATGTCTCGTGGGCCCCCTGGTGGAGGCGACACTCGTGGTGGGCCCCCTGGTGGAGACGACACTCGTGGTGGGCCCCCTGGTGGAGGCGACTTGTGGTGGGGCCTCTGACGGAGATGACACTCGTGGTGGGCCCCCTGGTGGAGATGACACTCGTGGTGGGCCCCCTGGTGGAGATGACACTCGTGGTGGGCCCCCTGGTGGAGACGACACTCGTGGTGGGCCCCCTGGTGGAGGCGACGCGTGGTGGGCCCCCTGGTGGAGATGACACTCGTGGTGGGCCCCCAGGTGGAGGCGACCCGTGGTGGGCCCCCTGGTGGAGGCGACTCGTGGTGGGCCCCCTGGTGGAGGCGACTCGTGGTGGGCCCCCTGGTGGAGGCGACTCGTGGTGGACCCCTTGACGGAGATGTCTCGTGGTGGGCGCGCCCCCCCTCCTCCCCGAGTGGATGTTGACCAACAGGCCCGAGGCGGAGCTCACTCCTGGGGCTCTTCTGATTGACCTAACTGGTGGTGGGTGGGTGGTGGTGGGTGGGTGGTGGGTAGTGGGTGGTGGGTGGTGGGTGGGTTTGGCCCTGTGGAGGACCTCAGTCTTTGGTGGGTGGAGAGCGGTGGGTGGGTGGATGGTGGGTGGGTGGTAGATTCACAACCCCGCACCGCAACAGAGCCCCGAATGGCGGAGCTCGCTCCCGAGGCTCCCGATTGACCTGGCGACGGTGGGCGGGAGCGGGCGGTGACCCACCCCACCCACCCACCACCACCCACTACCACCCACCCACCACCCACCCGCCCACCCACAGCGCAAGGGAGCTCACTCCCGTGGCCCGCCATCGTCGCCCCTGACGCGACGCAGGTACGAGGCGAGCGTGAGGCCCACGTCGGGGAGCTCGTAGCTCTGGGCGGCGTAGGCGCCGGCCACAACGCCCACCAGCGCCCCGGCCAGGCCGGCCACGCGCAGCCTGGCGAACACGAAGCCCAGGGCGAAGCCCTTCAGCAGCGGGGAGCTGAGCACGGAGCCCCCCGCCTGGGTGGTGGGTGGGGTGGTGGGTAGGGTGGGTGGGGTGGGTGGGGTGGGATAGAGTGAGTGGAGTTTGTGTTGAGTCTGTGGTGCAGTGTTGAGTCTGTGGTGCAGTGTTGAGTCGGTGGTGCAGTGTTGAGTCTATGGGCAGTGTTGAGTCTATGGGCAGTGTTGTGTCTATGGTGCAGTGTTGAGTCTATGGTGCAGTGTTGAGTCTATGGGCAGTGTTGAGTCTATGGTGCAGTGCTGAGTCTATGGGCAGTGTTGAGTCTATGGGCAGTGTTGAGTCTATGGTGCAGTGTTGAGTCTATGGTGCAGTGTTGAGTCTATGGTGCAGTGTTGGGTCTATGGTGCAGTGTTGAGTCTATGGTGCAGTGTTGAGTCTATGGGGCAGTGCTGAGTCTATGGTGCAGTGTTGAGTCTATGGGGCAGTGCTGAGTCTATGGTGCAGTGTTGAGTCTATGGTGCAGTGTTGAGTCTATGGTGCAGTGTTGAGTCTATGGTGCAGTGCTGAGTCTATGGTGCAGTGTTGAGTCTATGGTGCAGTGTTGAGTCTATGGTGCAGTGTTGAGTCTATGGTGGAGAGTTGAGTCTGTGGTGCAGAATTGAGTCTATGGGTAGTGTTGAGTCTATGGTGCAGTGTTGAGTCTATGGGGAAGTGTTGAGTCTATGGTGCAGTGTTGAGTCTATGGTGCAGTGTTGAGTCTATGGTGCAGTGTTGAGTCTATGGTGCAGTGTTGAGTCTATGGTGCAGTGTTGAGTCTATGGTGCAGTGTTGAGTCTATGGGCAGTGTTGAGTCGATGGTGCAGTGTTGAGTCTATGGTGCAGTGTTGAGTCTATGGTGCAGTGTTGAGTCTATGGTGCAGTGTTGAGTCTATGGTGCAGTGTTGAGTCTATGGTGCAGTGTTGAGTCTGTGGGTAGTGTTGAGTCTATGGTGCAGTGTTGAGTCTATGGTGCAGTGTTGAGTCTATGGTGCAGTGTTGAGTCTGTGGGCAGTGTTGAGTCTGTGGGTAGTGTTGAGTCTATGGTGCAGTGTTGAGTCTATGGGCAGTGTTGAGTCTATGGTGCAGTGTTGAGTCTATGATGCAGTGTTGAGTCTATGGGCAGTGTTGAGTCTGTGGTGCAGTGATGAGTCTATGGGCAGTGTTGAGTCTGTGGTGCAGTGTTGAGTCTGTGGTGCAGGGTTGAGTGTATGGTGCAGTGTTGAGTCTGTGGTGCAGTGTTGAGTCTGTGGTACAGGGTTGAGTGTATGGTGCAGTGTTGAGTCTGTGGTGCAGTGTTGAGTCTATGGTGCAGTGTTGAGTCTGTGGTGCAGTGTTGAGTCTATGGTGCAGTGTTGAGTCTATGGTGCAGTGTTGAGTCTGTGGTGCAGTGTTGAGTCTATGGTGCGGTGTTGAGTCTATGGTGCAGTGTTGAGTCTATGGGCAGTGTTGAGTCTATGGGCAGTGTTGAGTCTATGATGCAGTGTTGAGTCTATGTGCAGTGTTGAGTCTATGGGCAGTGTTGAGTCTATGGTGCAGTGTTGAGTCTATGGTGCAGTGTTGAGTCTATGGACAGTGTTGAGTCTATGGGCAGTGTTGAGTCTATGGGCAGTTCTGAGTCTATGGGTAGTGTTGAGTCTATGGTGCAGTGTTGAGTCTATGGTGCAGTGTTGAGTCTATGGTGCAGTGTTGAGTCTATGGTGCAGTGTTGAGTCTATGGTGCAGTGTTGAGTCTATGGTGCAGTGTTGAGTCTATGGTGCAGTGTTGAGTCTATGGGCAGTGTTGAGTCTATGATGCAGTGTTGGGTCTGTGGTGCAGTGTTGAGTCTATGGTGCAGTGTTGAGTCTGTGGTGCAGTGTTGAGTCTATGGTGCAGTGTTGAGTCTATGGTGCAGTGTTGAGTCTATGGTGCAGTGTTGAGTCTATGGTGCAGTGTTGAGTCTATGGTGCAGTGTTGAGTCTGTGGGCAGTGTTGAGTCTGTGGTGCAGTGTTGAGTCTGTGGTGCAGTGTTGAGTCTGTGGTGCAGTGTTGAGTCTATGGGTAGTGTTGAGTCTATGGTGCAGTGTTGAGTCTATGGTGCAGTGTTGAGTCTATGGTGCAGTGTTGAGTCTATGGGGAAGTGTAGAGTCTATGGTGCAGTGTTGAGTCTATGGTGCAGTGTTGAGTCTATGGTGCAGTGTTGAGTCTATGGTGCAGTGTTGAGTCTATGGTGCAGTGTTGAGTCTATGGTGCAGTGTTGAGTCTATGGTGCAGTGTTGAGTCTATGGTGCAGTGTTGAGTCTATGGTGCAGTGTTGAGTCTATGGGCAGTGTTGAGTCGATGGTGCAGTGTTGAGTCTATGGTGCAGTGTTGAGTCTATGGTGCAGTGTTGAGTCTATGGTGCAGTGTTGAGTCTATGGTGCAGTGTTGAGTCTATGGTGCAGTGTTGAGTCTGTGGGTAGTGTTGAGTCTATGGTGCAGTGTTGAGTCTATGGTGCAGTGTTGAGTCTATGGTGAGGTGTTGAGTCTGTGGGCAGTGTTGAGTCTGTGGGTAGTGTTGAGTCTATGGTGCAGTGTTGAGTCTATGGGCAGTGTTGAGTCTATGGTGCAGTGTTGAGTCTATGATGCAGTGTTGAGTCTATGGGCAGTGTTGAGTCTGTGGTGCAGTGATGAGTCTATGGGCAGTGTTGAGTCTGTGGTGCAGTGTTGAGTCTGTGGTGCAGGGTTGAGTGTATGGTGCAGTGTTGAGTCTGTGGTGCAGTGTTGAGTCTGTGGTGCAGGGTTGAGTGTATGGTGCAGTGTTGAGTCTGTGGTGCAGTGTTGAGTCTATGGTGCAGTGTTGAGTCTGTGGTGCAGTGTTGAGTCTATGGTGCAGTGTTGAGTCTATGGTGCAGTGTTGAGTCTGTGGTGCAGTGTTGAGTCTATGGTGCGGTGTTGAGTCTATGGTGCAGTGTTGAGTCTATGGGCAGTGTTGAGTCTATGGGCAGTGTTGAGTCTGTGGTGCAGTGTTGAGTCTATGGTGCGGTGTTGAGTCTATGGTGCAGTGTTGAGTCTATGGTGCAGTGTTGAGTCTATGGGCAGTGTTGAGTCTGTGGGTAGTGTTGAGTCTATGGGCAGTGTTGAGTCTGTGGTGCAGTGTTGAGTATATGGGCAGTGTTGAGTCTGTGGGTAGTGTTGAGTCTATGGGCAGTGTTGAGTCTGCGGTGCAGTGTTGAGTCTATGGGCAGTGTTGAGTCTGTGGTGCAGTGTTGAGTCTATGGTGCAGTGTTGAGTCTATGGTGCAGTGTTGAGTCTGTGGTGCAGTGTTGAGTCTATGGGCAGTGTTGAGTCTATGGTGCAGTGTTGAGTCTGTGGTGCAGTGTTGAGTCTATGGGCAGTGTTGAGTCTGTGGGTAGTGTTGAGTCTATGGGCAGTGTTGAGTCTGTGGTGCAGTGTTGAGTCTATGGGCAGTGTTGAGTCTGTGGTGCAGGGTTGAGTCTATGGTGCAGTGTTGAGTCTGTGGGCAGTGTTGAGTCTGTGGTGCAGTGTTGAGTCTGTGGTGCAGTGTTGAGTCTGTGGTGCAGTGTTGAGTCTATGGGTAGTGTTGAGTCTATGGTGCAGTGTTGAGTCTATGGTGCAGTGTTGAGTCTATGGTGCAGTGTTGAGTCTATGGGGAAGTGTTGAGTCTATGGTGCAGTGTTGAGTCTATGGTGCAGTGTTGAGTCTATGGTGCAGTGTTGAGTCTATGGTGCAGTGTTGAGTCTATGGTGCAGTGTTGAGTCTATGGTGCAGTGTTGAGTCTATGGTGCAGTGTTGAGTCTATGGTGCAGTGTTGAGTCTATGGGCAGTGTTGAGTCTATGATGCAGTGTTGAGTCTATGTGCAGTGTTGAGTCTATGGGCAGTGTTGAGTCTATGGTGCAGTGTTGAGTCTATGGTGCAGTGTTGAGTCTATGGACAGTGTTGAGTCTATGGGCAGTCTTGAGTCTATGGGCAGTTCTGAGTCTATGGGTAGTGTTGAGTCTATGGTGCAGTGTTGAGTCTATGGTGCAGTGTTGAGTCTATGGTGCAGTGTTGAGTCTATGGTGCAGTGTTGAGTCTATGGTGCAGTGTTGAGTCTATGGTGCAGTGTTGAGTCTATGGTGCAGTGTTGAGTCTATGGTGCAGTGTTGAGTCTATGGGCAGTGTTGAGTCTATGATGCAGTGTTGAGTCTGTGGTGCAGTGTTGAGTCTATGGTGCAGTGTTGAGTCTGTGGTGCAGTGTTGAGTCTATGGTGCAGTGTTGAGTCTATGGTGCAGTGTTGAGTCTATGGTGCAGTGTTGAGTCTATGGTGCAGTGTTGAGTCTGTGGGCAGTGTTGAGTCTGTGGTGCAGTGTTGAGTCTGTGGGCAGTGTTGAGTCTATGGGCAGTGTTGAGTCTGTGGTGCAGTGTTGAGTCTATGGTGCGGTGTTGAGTCTATGGTGCAGTGTTGAGTCTATGGTGCAGTGTTGAGTCTATGGGCAGTGTTGAGTCTGTGGGTAGTGTTGAGTCTATGGGCAGTGTTGAGTCTGTGGTGCAGTGTTGAGTATATGGGCAGTGTTGAGTCTGTGGGTAGTGTTGAGTCTATGGGCAGTGTTAAGTCTGCGGTGCAGTGTTGAGTCTATGGGCAGTGTTGAGTCTGTGGTGCAGTGTTGAGTCTATGGTGCAGTGTTGAGTCTATGGTGCAGTGTTGAGTCTGTGGTGCAGTGTTGAGTCTATGGGCAGTGATGAGTCTATGGTGCAGTGTTGAGTCTGTGGTGCAGTGTTGAGTCTATGGGCAGTGTTGAGTCTGTGGGTAGTGTTGAGTCTATGGGCAGTGTTGAGTCTGTGGTGCAGTGTTGAGTCTATGGGCAGTGTTGAGTCTGTGGTGCAGGGTTGAGTCTATGGTGCAGTGTTGAGTCTGTGGGCAGTGTTGAGTCTGTGGGTAGTGTTGAGTCTATGGGCAGTGTTAAGTCTGCGGTGCAGTGTTGAGTCTATGGGCAGTGTTGAGTCTGTGGTGCAGTGTTGAGTCTATGGTGCAGTGTTGAGTCTATGGTGCAGTGTTGAG